CAGACACATGTAGGATACAAGATGTAAACATTAGACACTCCAACAGCATCCAGTAGCTATATGGAGCCAAGGGTAAATATGTTACAAAGACCCATTTGATTTAGCAGTGAGAGGAAAAAGGTGCAAACATAAAAGCTATCTGGAGCATACTCAAGAATGACTATATATCTGAAAGTACTTTAACTCTAAATGTCCACTAATACTCCTTTAAAATAGTGATTTTCTGTCCCTGAGAATTTAAGGGCACTTCAACTGGGAACTAGCCAGTCTGTTGAGTTTAAGACTACTTCACTGAAAGGCTGTATAATCTTTTTTGGGAAATTGTTTGGTTCCTGCTGCACCTCATGGCAATCAGCCCCACAGTTTAACATGTACCATCTGCACAGTAGGTAGCCTGAATCCTGACACTAAGCTTCTGAACTTGCAACACTAGCTCAATATGAGTATTTATTAAGTGATACACTATGGATAGCTTCTAATAGACTTACTTATCTATTTCCTTTTAACATGAAAATGCTGACAAACTTCTATAAATTCAGCTAATTTAAACATGTATTTATTTTCTGGATGCTGAAATTAAATTAATTCTAAAGCAGTCATTTCATAGTTGTTCCCTTTGATTAGCTTCCCTTCTGCTTCTGTTCAGAAACATGGGGACTAATTTAGCACACGCTTACACCAACAAAACTGCAGTCTGGATTTATACTCTGGTAGCCAAGTCAGAATTTGTTCTGCTTGTTTTTATTCTTCTAACTAGCTTCCTCGCATTTGATTTTGTTTATGTATGGCCCATCTCTGTTGACATCTTTCAAAGGGATAATAGGAAGAAAGCCAAGCTGAAGATGTTCACATGCACGTGACTACAATGTATATAAACAAATGTAATGTACATGTATGTGCTTAAAGATTTGTGAGTACACATATATGAAATAAATATGTAGAATGTAAAATGTGTATAGAAATATATGAGAAAAGAAATCACTGATAAAGCACTAAGAAAAGTGCTCTTCCTCACAGCAGTAAATTGACATCCAAGATTTTTTTAGCTATCCTTGGAAAGAGGTGTATGTCAATAGGCTGTAATGATTTCAGGCCTTTATCCTCCCCAAAGGACCTCCCTGTGCTGCTGGGAGTGCTACAGTCTCTCCTGAGAACTCTGGGGTAAAAAGCAGTGGTATGTTATAATGACTTTTTGACTGTTGCTCACTGGCAGCGAATTTGAGGCTGACATTGAAGGTACATTTGCTAGTTTCTGTTCTGTGTTCTGATTTGTCATCCTTGATCTGTCACAGACAAGAGTTTGGGGGTTGTGAGCAGTGGAGATTTGCTTTTGTTTCCTACACATTTCAGCAGCACAAACAAAACCTGAACTGTCTTCAGTAAGCTGTTAAGTAACCAAACTGGTACCAAACAAGTTTGTTTACTTGGTTAGCTGTCCTGTTGGACATGAAATCAAAGCAATGGCCTGGTTTTCTCCAACCCCCAAGTTCCAGCACTTCCTAAAATTAAAGAGAAAGTTAAATGGCAATTCCAGCCTGGAACTGGCTGACAGGAGTCTACCAGGCTCCAGGAATTAATCCAGAGGAAATGGATACTTCTGAGACTGACTTTATTTTCTTCCAAGATACCCAGGAACTAATATATACTCTGGTCAGCTCCGTTCCAAAAGGCCAGAGAACACTGCCCAAAAATGATGAAACTGAGAGCAGGGATTAACCCACATCTGCTTGCTGTTGTGCACAAAGTGGACTTTCATCTCAGTTGAGATTTTTTTTTTTCCAGAATTATTTCTTTTATGCCAGTCAAGGTTCTTCTGGCAAAGGATGCAGCTCTGTTAGTTACAACGGTGTTACGAAGGGGTAATTAAGTTGCTGTGTGGTGTAGGAAAGGGGTGTGCAGTTCTGCATTCCCTTATCACAAATTAAAGTGCTCTCCAAATTAAAAAGCACTACAGTTAATGCATTTTCTCAGACATTTCTGTTTATACCGCTAATTATCACACTAAAAAGTACTCCTGAAGTTCAGCTTCTTAGATAACTATCATAAACCATCCACTCTCCCAGGCAGAAGGGAAGTCATTACAGTTCAGTAGTGGAAAAGATCTACCACACGAACAGACAGATGTCCCAGAAATGGGTGTCTGTCTCTGTCACCAGAACCTTTGGAGACTTTTTGCCTCTCTGTAACTAAGTTTTCATTTGGAAAATGCTTCAAAATTACAGTGTTGGGTTCTGAATACTTATGTCTTTGTTCCTCCAATTATAATGACTAAAACCATTACAATTAGCACATGACATTATGCACTGAAAAAAATCCATTTTTCTTTCAGTGTTTCTCTTTAGAAAGATTGTTTTAATTCTGGTTTCACTAAAATAGTGTTTTTCAGACCTGTCCACATATCACCTGACAAAATACCAGTGTAGAAGGAAGGAAAGCTAACTGGATGGTATCTTGAATTCTAGCAAACATCAAGCCATGTATTAATTTATTTGCAAAAATTCAGTAAAAACAAATCCTGAAGTATTCATATACATGGCAATTAACAGTGGAGAAACCCAATGTTCCCTTTACTGTGTAACTTTTTCCTGTTTACTACCTATTCCCTTGCCTTCTACTGTTTTCCATCTCTGCTTTGACTCTAAAAGATGCAAATCACCAGCCCTGATTTCTTATTTAAACAGTCTATTTGCAGCCAAGACCTCTGGAGCCATTAGAGAATGACCATGTGAAAGGGCCAGCCTGTATTCACACTGCTCAGGAACTGCTCTGGCTCTGGGACCTCAGAGAATTCCAGTATCATATTTGCTTCACATGCTCTCCAAGGAGGGATAAAGTCACGCCAGTCCTTCACTTGATACGGCTCTTGTCCTGCTCCTAGCTTGCTGTGGGAATGGAGCTGGGGAACTGCAGCTATTTTGTCTCATCTCTGTGGCTCACAAACTGAATAGCCCATGCAAGAGTACGTGCTTGTGCGGGTGTGCGAGGGCACGGAGAGGGGCGGCTGATCACTGGGGACATGCCTTAAGCCCTCTTTTTCTGAGATGCCACCTCGCTAAACTTCCTTGCATAAAAGTTCATCAATGTAAGTAAAGGTTGGGCATTCAGCCTGCCAATTTTCTCATGCTGGTAGTGAGCCTTTAAAACAAAATTTGCCCATATTTAAGACCCTTTTAATCTTAGGACTATGTTCTACTAAATTTCTTAAATTTTTTTCTTCAGTTCTGTAACTGCCTGTTGCAGTTGCATATTTTAAACTAATAAAGAGTGTCCTTAATGGTGTGAAGATTTGCCCATTCCAACTGTGGGCAGACTCACCTTTTCAAAAGGTGCTATATCAGCTGAAAGTCACTGGGCTTCCATCACGTAGTCATGGTTTGTCTTTCCCATGCCCAAGTTCAGACCAAGTACCCTGGCTCACAGTCCAGACTACTCAAATTGTCTGATACGCAATGGAGATGTGTGCTGTTAACCACTTATTTTGGGGGAAACCACTTAATTATGGGGAAAAAAAAGCAATATGTTTTATAGCTATTTTCAATTATACCTATTGTAAAGACAATCCATCTGCTATATACTTGGGGAAAAGATCTGCAGCTATTTTTCCCATTGCTTGGACAGTTACAAGGCAATAAGTAATTTATTGCTTTGCTCTATTAGTCTTATGTATAAACAAGAAACATAACTGCGGGACTAAATGCCTTGCCACTTAAAAGCCAGCATTTAATTTTGTCCTTTTTCCATTTAGAAATTTTCTCCTCTTTCTGTCCTCCTGTTGCCTCTCTTGCCACTAAAAATGCGCAATTATAGTACTATACCATGCTACAATGGCATGAAAGAGCACAGATACAATGGAGGAACACGAGCACAGTACAACTTCTCATTTCAGTCATCCCTGCTAAGTCTCTGTGGCTTGAAACCCAGCAATGAAAGCAGACTCACATGCAAAGGAAGGTCTGCCTTATAGGATGGAGGTCCAAAAAGCTAAATCCCTCTAGGCATGTAAAAACATTCTTATCAAAGGAGCTGTTCATAGGCATTCACACAGTGCAAGGACAACTTGGGTTTTTCCATGATTAATGATAAGTTTGGAGGAATGCAAGCCACACTATACTCAGGGATTAGCTGTTTATCAAACAAAATATATTGGGAACTGGGGCAGCTGGGGCTGCTTAGCTACACATATTCGTTTGTTAGGTGCTCCTTTCCTCTCCCATTTCATAAGCAAAGGGTGTGTGTAACCCTAGCAAAGTCCCTTAAAGAATAACTGTGCACAGAAAGTCTGTTTTGCCTTGAATGTAGTCTCTTCTGTCTGCTGAAGCACTTGAGGTCAAGCTTTTATGAAGACATAATGCCCCCCCTTATTTTTCCACCAGCATAAACTGAACTTCATAGACTGAACTGGTACTTTATAACTGATATGCTTTCACTGAGGGCATTTACATTGCTATTATTGCTTATTTCCTCTGCTATCTAGCTTCCTAGAGGTTATGCAAATCAGAGATTTGGGATTATTTGTGTCAACAGTGGCTGTTTTATTAGAAAACTTGTCTTTGAAAAGGTGGTTTATGTACAAATCATGTGTGAAGTCTCAAGCAGCTCAGACAGCAGTGCCAGAGCCCCACCATGTATGTATTAAAACTCTGGGATCAGACTTCTGGCTGCCACTAGGGACACTGATTTCAGTGGGACTGTGCCGACTTGGACAGCAATTAAATCAGTGCCAGCTACAAGCAGGGAAATATGCAATGATAAACAGCTTTTCATTAAGTAAAGATTTCAGATGAGTCATGAGTAAATGTCATTTGCTTCCCAATACTCAGGCAAAGATACAGCTCTTAACATGAAACACTTCATTTCAGGGCAATAACACCCCACTTGCTGTGTGGTGTTAAATCCTGGAGCTCCTGTGAGTAATAATCTCCTTCTTATAGTCCACAGAGAGGGGCTATTTTCAGAGTTTACTTTAATATATTAAGACTCACAGGTTCTGTGTCTATGGATTTTCCGTCTAGAACTTTCACACCAATAATCTAGTGAGTATCCCTTAGGAAATGAAGAGAAAACTGGACAGGTTTAACCAGACTTGGCCATAGTAAAGCATAGGCTTTGGGCATAAAACTGCCCAAGAGGAATATTTGATAAAAGAGTGCAGCTCCATGACCTTTTTGACTGCTACACAATCAGTTAGTGGTCCCTCTGCTGAAACTACTGACAACAGTGACACCTGTGATGGTGGTTTTTGTGGTTGGGGCACCTGTCTGATAGAAATTGGGTCGAGGCTGATGACTCAGTGCTCAAAACCTGCCAAGCAGCTGTCAGATGGTGGGAGTTTTCACCATCTCCTAGACTGGCTGAGTGCTAACTGCTGACTTTGAGAAATACGGGTTATGAGACTTGACCAGCTTCCCGGACTTTCCCTGTACCCTGAGTCCTCTTTTATTTCCATCACTAGAAAGGCAAATGTGTTTGCTATTTATATATCCAATGTCCATTTTTAATTTTCTTGTGTGTGTGAGGGTATGTGAGCAATTCTTGTCTTTAATTTCATCATGAAAGAAACTTGTTCCTATGCAGAAAGCCAAACATGCTCTCTGCACTGCCTCAGAGCAGTGGAAACTCTTACTGATTCTTTGGGAGGAGAAGTTAATGCTATCTTATCACAGCAAAGAAGCCAGGGAACCTGATCAGACACTGGCATCTTTTACAAAGCTGCATACTCTGCTCAGTGCTTGGTGAAATCAAGAAAACTTCCAGACAGACTTTCAAATGGGAACTCATCTTTAGCTACTAAAAGACAAGTGTTTGGTCCACCTCCCCTATAACCATCTCCAAAGGGCACCTCACCCACAGGTGATTAAAACAGGCAGAGCTTCTGCAGTTGTCTATCTCTTTCATTTGACTGAAGAGAGCTTGGAAGACCTGCTTGAGCTGGATGGTTCATTTTTAGTTGATTAAATTTAAGTGAAGTGAAGCCAGTCTCAGTATGACCAGCATATGATCATATATGTAAAATAAATAACATTGAGAAGAAGAGGTGACAGAAGAGCTTCCCACACAGGAAAGGTAGTTGACACTAGAATAGTAATCTTTCTCATTATTTCCCAGACCATTATTTCCCTTTTCCCAAGATGCTACAACCTGTTGTCTTCCAGCAGGCAAAAGAATGTGACTACAGTCATTGCAATACTGAATATGCAATATTCATAATACAGAGGAGAAAATGAAGGCAAAGAACGTAAATCATTTGGCTACAAAAATCTATCAGTATTAGAACCAAGCTAATTATTTAGGGGTTGCTGGTTCCCATGGCTCTTTCAGACCAAGCTAATACCTTATTAATGCTTATCCCTGCTGTATTTAATACGATAAATCTTCATTTAAGAAGCTGCAACTCCTATAACATTTAATTACTTCACTGTGCAGCTTTAAGATGTGAGTGGGTTTGAAGGAAAGAAGGAAAAAAAAAAGGGGGGGTGGGTTGACTTCATTTGGATTTAATTAATTTTCTCTGTGGTTTGCTTGGTAAAAGGCTTCTCTCCTAAGGTAAGGCAGCTGTGACTACACACTGAAGTATAAGAAAAGTCATAAGATAGAGGCCAAGAGTTTGAAACCAGGTTACCACCTACACTGAGGCCAAACTTTCAGTTATGTTGACTGCACTGTAAATGCTGCTGAAATCATAAGGATCTGAAGATGACTAGAAATACATCTCTATAACCTTGGTGGGGGAGAGAGTGCCAGGCTATATGTAAGTACATCTTTATTCATTTATTTATTTATTTATTAAGTTCTTATTTTTGGTATTTCTGACAGTGAGCCCCTGATGCATGAGCAGGGCAAACTGCTATTTCTGTGTTGTTCAAAGCAACTACCGTGAAAGCACCTTCACCAGGACTTTTGGGTAACAACTAGCAGCTTCAAACACCAAAATAAATTAACATAAACTGCAAGGGTTGAAAAGTCAGTTTGGGCAGGAGGAGGGTCACAGGGGAAGGTCTGGATCTCAGCAAGGAAAGTGACATGATTGCAGCAGGCTGTGTGCCTGCCCAGCAGTCGGGTTAGGGAGAGGCCATGTTAGGCCCACACTGCTGTGTGGAAATACTCCTGTGGAATCGATGGTAGGACGTAGCCCAATGCCATTGCCACCAGTCTTTGTAACAGCTGCCATTGTTTGGTAGTTTTGATATACTGGTAGATAAAAGGAGGATAAGTACACAGATATCCTTCACTGAGCAGAAACAATGGAAACCCAATGTTATTTCAGTCCATTGAAGTATTTTAATCTGTCCCCTCAGCTATGGCTATACTCAGGAGGATTTAAACTTTGGATTTCTTTCAGAGATACTGAGGCTCTGATGCAGTTTCACATGTTACAACAATAACCATTTCAGGGCCAAAAGCTGTTTAGTATTTCAGGGTGAGTGCTCTCCTGTTTCAACTAGCTGTTAACGTCTGGAGAGGAAGAGACAATTGTTTACATGACTGAGCGGGTCAGGATCTGCTTTTTATCCATCCTGCTCCCTGAGTAAATTTTGCAAGCAAATCTGAATGAGTGGCAAGGCTTGGCATGTCATGGGTTTTGAAACCCACAGCTCCTTGAGTCACCTGATTGTAAGATACTCGGCTATTATTTTAAAAAGACTGTTTATAGGTTTCTTCATTGAAGAGCAGAATTTGAAAGTGTGGTCACAATTGACCCAGAAACAGAAAATAATCAAAGAAACCCAATATTTATTTATTTGCTTATTTGACAGAATATGACTTTAAGGATAATTTCACCGGTTTTGGAGGCTGATTTAAGACTTCTGAATGCTTGGTGTTTACCACTGAGTTACATGAGTGAATGCTGGATGGGGCAGTCCTGCTTCAAGGTGATTTTATATATCTATGGGTTCTGTGTCATAAAGGATCATAGGTTTCCAGGCTCTCATTTATTTTCATAGGAAAGCCAACAGAGTTTAGTGCTTACAGGTTTTATAAACTCTATAGGCTCACGTGGAGCCAATTCAACAGCCTTCCAATGTACAAAGAAAACCTTGTGTAATAAAATCCATGAACTGATAGAAAAGTCTCTGTGTCCCAAAGAGCTGTAAAACCACTGATTAAAATCTGCTCCAGCATTGAAAGCTGAATATGTGTGGAAAGGAAGAAGATACATATACAGTGAAAAATGTCCTATTTGATTATTTTCTCAAATGTAAAGACTTCTGGGAACCTGCTTTTGATTGGGATTTGATCAGGAATATTTTTTGGGCTGCAGTCATCTTGTACCATGGAAATTGGTAGAGTCTACTCATATATGCATCACCATCCTTAAATAAATGCTGTAGACTTTATCTACTCTTCCATGGTTGTAGATCCGGATGTACTGTTTTTCATCTTTCCACAAAGAAAAGGCCTTTTCATTCATGCCTCTGTACAATGATGTTGTTCTTCAGACAGGCTATAACTCATTCATATGAGTTGTGGCTTGAATGATTGGTTTATAAATGTTCGCTGTCCTACGATGTAAATTTGTTCTTCTCTCTACGCTCCACAGAGACAAACACATTGGCCTCTCTTTCCTAGTCCTTGTCGCGACATCTGTGGCCAACCCTGAACTCATACTTTTTATAAACCTTTGGGTCCAGGCATAAAAGTCTTCAAATATACCAGATGATTCTCACCATACAGTTCCTACTTTTGAATGGTATTGATTATGGTATTGACGATAGCAGTGCATCTTCCCAGTTGAGATTGGATGACCAAACAGAGCTAAGAATTCCTTGTGTGATCTCACTACAGTTGGGTGTCCTCAGATGAGTCCTTCTCCCCTATACCAGTGTAACACTTGAGATCTACCAGGGAGAACCAAGAGCAATTGAACAGCAGAAATGTGGGCTAAGCACGTCACGGAACTGTTAATAAATGCAAAAGACTGTCAAACACAGTGAACAGAATACATATAGCAAATAGTAACTGAAACCCAGTGCACACATTTTTCCTCAGGCCTTCATTGTTACAGTCAGTCATTTCATTCCATTAGTAGTAATAATTCCTGTAGGAATGGAAGCAAACTTTGGATTATAAATGAACATCACAGTAGGCAGTAAGGAATGCATGTTTATCCCTGTTTTGATGACATCTGGACAAGCTAGCGACCTTTGGGCAGAATATTCACTATACAGAGATTTAAAAAAAAAAAAAGAATGGCAATAAATCTATTTTTCATGTCTCCACACCTTCTAGTAGGTGCAGAAGTTGGCAGGCTGAAATGAAATTCTCAATAAAGATTATCTCCCACTTGTGGCTGGTTCAAGGACTGCATGAAAGAATATACACAAAATAAATGCACCCACTGTAGTCTCAGACAGAAGAAGTTCAGATTAATTTAGAGTAAGTTTAAAGAATTATCCCATCTTCTGGTCTCTCAGACATCAAAATTTGCTCTCCTCCCCCTTCACCCCCTGAGCTTATCCTTCCTGCCTCTTGGCTTTTATTAACACTGCCTACATGGAGGCATTTGTTTGATATTTAAATTGACAGGTCAATTATCTTTTCAAATTTAGTGATATGACAAGCCAGGGGGTTTATCCCATTACAATATTTCTAAGTGACAAAATTATTTTATCTCTCCTTGACAGTATTATTGACCTGTAATCAGCAGACGAATGAGAGAAACAGAGGTCATCTCAAAAGTAAAAAGCCAGTTAGAAAACTGTTTGGCCAATTATGTCAGTCATCTTGACTTAATCTTGCAGCAGAACAAGGAAAGATTTGTTGCTATGAACCTTGGCCCAACAAACCCTACATGGAAAGCTTTCCACTCAGTTGAAGGGGGGGTGTCTCATATGTGCGACTTCTTGCAGTGAGGTCAGTGGGCCCCAGGGGTTGATGGAGGATGAAAAATAGTGAGAGGTCAAGGTTTGTAAAGCAAATCAATTTTCTTAAAGAGAAGATTCTTCTTGGAATCAAGAACCCTGTGGCTATGTTATAGGTCAATTTTCACAAGGTTACAGCTGCTACCGAGCATCTGGGCTAGACAGCTTTTTTTGGATGTTAAATCTCTTAATTGAGTTGGTCTATGTTTTTCTTTGAAAACATGTTTCTTTAAAAAATACTCAGCATTTTTTTCTAATAAATCATAAATAGTTATCACACATGCTTCATTTTTAAATCTGTCTCTTTGACACAAGAACGTATAAGCCATCTGTGTGTTCCTTAATCATTTTAGCAACATTTGTTTGTAGTGTGTCTGCTTAGTTGGGCTTTTAAGCTTCATTAAGAATAAAACATCCTGTTTACCAGAAAACAAAAATATTTTAAAAATCAATAATGCAAAGTTTTATGCCAACAATTTGAGGTGGCTTTAAATGAAGATCTTCCAGATATTAGGTCTTTGAATGTAGTATCAAAACCTTAGTAGGATAGACCCTACCTATTATTTGGCATTAAATAAAAGTTTTCACTGTTCTGGCCATGTCCAAGATACAGATGAGGTAAGCAATTGCTTTGTTTTCTCATAATTTGGCTAAGGCTTTTGGGTGATTCACCACCTTGCACACAAAGCTGGACAATCCATCTATTTGGTAGCTGGATGAGGTCAGTTATGGTGTGATCTTTTCCACAGGATTGATCATCATTCATACAAACAACCACCACAAGGTCAAGGTGACAGGGAGGCCATCTCCCTTAACATCCATGCATGGCAACCTGCAGAAGTAAATCTACCTGAGCTCCTGAGGCTGCTGCTGCAGGGTCCAAGCAGGGGAGATGCAGGTCCCTGACAGATGGGGTGAGCTAAGCACAGGCACAGCAGCAGCTGGGAGGAGCCTGAAGGCAGAAAGACACATCAGGCAACAAAACTAAAGCTCTCACTTCTGCCATTATTATTCCTTTGTCTATTTATTTCCATTAATGTATGCTGGCAATGAGAGGGAATTAGGGCCCAGAGTGCAGAAGAAATGAGGAAATAATAATAAAAAAAAAAGGTCCCATTTCTCAACTGAAAGGATAGATAAACAGTCATTCCCCTGTTCATGTACCAGCCACATCAGTCCTCAGGACTTGCCCAGAAATCAGCAGGCTTCTAGAACAGCAAGGAGAAATTCTCTGTTTGGAATAAATGCTAGAAGATGAATATCCATACTGTTATCCAAACTAAACTATTCATTTCTAAAAGTACCTTAAGTCGTTTTGTTTTGTTTTGTTTTTCCTGCTGGAACTGGTGGTCTTTTGCAAAATAAAATAAAAAAACAATAATTATAGTGACACTTTTTATTTTGAATACTGCTAAGTGTGTGTTTTGAAGAGACATTGGAAAACAGAGTATGGCCCAAAGAGACAGTCATACTAAATAAAGGGAATGGGGGAAAAAAGGGAAAAAAAAAAAAAAAAAGCAGGAGCAAAAACACTAGACTTTTGGGACATCTAGACTGTTAACCTTGAATTTTGCAATTAGTTTTGACTTCATTCTTAGAAAAAAAAAAAGACTGTTTCTAAGAATCATTCTAAGAAACATGATTCTCAACAGGAATTTGGAAGCATGACTGTATTTTTGAAGTTGATGTTTTTCTTTATGTTGGATATAGTGGCATGAACTTCTTATTACCAGATATCCTGTCAAAAACAAGGAAGAAATCCACAGAACTTCTCTGGAAGTGCCTTGGAGTTAAACATTTGTTGGACAGGCACAGAAATCTGTAATGCACAACATAAACCTAATGTCATAACAAGAAACATATTTTCAAAGTAATTTATCCAGAAAGAATAGTGTCAGGCATGTATTTGGTATTTTTCCCTATTTTTTCTTTATAGATTTTTTTTTGGAATAGCAAAACTGGACACACAGAAATATAAACACTTCATTTAAACATACTGCTAACGCGTTTAAACATGTTTGCTTGCTATACTTTATTAAATTTTATTACGTACATTATTAAAAATTCTTTGGACAGCAATACTTGTTCAAACAAAGTGGACCGAGGTTATGGATATTCACTGGGGTTGAGAGAGATTGCAATAAACTGAGCTGAAGGCCCTTGATTATGTCTGCCCTGAGTAAATCACCCAGGCAAAATTTCAACTTGATGGACAGCCGAAGTGTGGGGCATATCCAAAGGGCATTTGAGACACACACCATGACATTTTGCCATGTAAGTCTGAGTGTTTCCTGTTTGGTAGAGTTAAATAATGAATTTTTTTTATGTGGGCTAGGAGTCTGCAGTTAAATCAATGGTGTGGATTTGACCCGCAAGTTCTTCCTCAGAAGAAACTGCTCACTGTCAACTTGGATGACAAAAAAAACTCAAATTTCCCATTTGTGTAACCCTGGGTTACACAAAACTGGTTAGACTCAGCTAAAGAGTTGCCCGCTCTGCCAGTACTTCAGAAAGGGTAACGTGAGTTTCAAGTCTATTGCATCAGCCCCCAGAAAGAAGGTTTTATAGTATATTTCCCCACTCTGTGAGACAGACAATGGTTAGATTTGGACAAAGCTTCTTGTCAGTCATTCTGGCCAGTTGGAAGAAATTAATCTTGGAAAAGTCATAAATCACATGCACAGGATTTCCCTACCAGAAAGGATGTTGAAGGAATTTTTCAGGAAAAAAAATGAAGTCTGTAACAGAAAGAGATTTTTAGAGTGAAGGTTGTTTGTTTCCTTTCTAGGTTACCCTGTTATTGCCAAGAAGTCATGGATATAGACTCATGCCTTATATATAGCTAAATTAGGAAAATAATAACTTGGGGAACAGGTGACCAGCTCCAGTCTGATTTATGCCCTCCAGAAACTTGAGTTCAGATCAAAGCTAGCAAGCAGAAATGTTTTGCTTTTCTATTACGTAATACACAACCATCACGTAATCTGGAATAATTAACAGATTAGGATCAACTAAAACCTGAGCTTCGGCTAGACATAAAGGCAGAGTGTAAGAAAATTGCATAGTCTGGGAAGCTCAGGGGGGAAAAAAAACATCTGAGCTGAATCTTCTGCTCCTTTGAATTTATTTACTGCTGGATATTAATGGAGCAATCAGACATTAGATAAGGAGGTAGAGTTTACCAATTTATGGTAACACATGGTAATTTTTCCTTGGTCTCACGGAACTTTTTTTTTTTGTAATGTTTTTTACCACATTCACCAAGTCTGACTTCTTCTAATAAAAAATGTAGGTCAGTTCTTCAGTTTAAAAAAAAAAAAAAAAAGCTGAAAATGAAATAACCAAGCCCAAATACATATTAAACAAAAGCAGCTGATGAATAAATTGCCATGAGGTATTTCCTGCTACGTGATGTTAGGTAATAGGGATCAGGATTTCTAGAATTAGAAAAGAAGAAAAAAATGTATTTGGGCAGAAAGAAATACCACGTTGTCTTTTTATCACACAGTGGAAAGAGCGAGTGGCATGAATGAGTTCACGAACAGCTGTCAGAGGTGTTCCCATCTCATTGCACTGCTCAGTGAGAAAGGAATTTCTCCACTCAAAATTCCAACAAGTTTGGTGCTTTTAGCTCCAGATTTGGTTCTGTATCAAGGCTATTTTAGGAAGGGATGCAGTACCGTGCAAGTCACGGGTTGCTCACCTGGAGAATCCCTGCAGACCTGACCTGGCACCAGGGCTGTGGTAGCATGTGGGTGGCTGTGGGTCTCTTGGGGAAGATGGGTGAGAACTGGAAGAATATAAGGGCTTTCTTCCCATCCTTCTTGGTGTTTTGGCCAGCAGATATGCAGATGGCATAAATATGGCTGGATACCTGCTATGGGGACAATATGTGTCCAGGGGGCATGGTGGAAGGCAATACCACCTTGTGCTGGCTGTGAACCCCCTCCACCCCTTAGCTGGCCAGTTATGAGCAGATTTCATCCCTTAGTTGGCCAGTGAGACTAGGGGAAGGAGGTAACTGGGTTACCTCACTCTCTTTTTTTTTTTGCAACAGTCTAAGAGGTACATTATTTCCTCCAGTGAGCAAGAAACAGTTAATGTTCTCATCAAATTATAACGTCAAACTGTGAAACACAAACCCCATTCTAATCCAAACAAGGCAGTCTCTTCTGAAACTGGACCAAGAACAACAGGAACACGAACTGCAGCAGTTCTTTCGTAACCACCTCTTGGTTCTTGGACCAGAATGCGTTTATCAAAGATGGATCTGTAGGATGCATTTTATAAGATTAATTCACTTTTGCTCTACCAGGCCCCAGCAAACTACCTTCTGCACTGATGGAGGCCGTGAGAAGTAACCACCGACAGCAAGTTTACTGCATCTGAGGTGAAATGAGGTGGGAATGAGCTTGCTTGGTGTGCACATGGCCATGGGTGAGGGAACAGATGGTGGATGGAGGAGACACGCTGTCTCCTCCCACGGCAACTTCTGTCACTTGTTGAAATACATTTATGGGAGAAGGGCTTGGCTGTGTTTCATCTTGGGGCTTGGATCGTCAGCAAGATGAAAGTCCTGCACTGTTGTGATTTACATTACCCCGACCAGAGAATGGTCTCTGATCAGCCTTTCAGACAGATTTAAGGGTATCTTAGCCAAAGTCTGTCATTGCTGTGGTACAATTATTTTCCCATGCAGGTGCTGCGGCATTTTTGAAAGTATACATCAATTGTGTTGGCCAAATGTGTGACGTGTTGTGTCAGGTTGTGCTGGGCACCTTGCTAATTTTGATTAGCGTGTGTGGGTGTGTGTAGGGAAGGGGAGCCGCTGCAAATACTGTGCTTAGAAAGTAAGGTTAGCAGCAGGCCAAAAAATACAATGTTGTATCTGAAAAAATGTGATCCCTGAAATGTAGAACAGCAAACTTTAATGTGCTGCAGAGAGTGATCAGGAATGGAGAATGCTGCACTGATTTCCTTCAGTTTGGCTGTCTTTTATAGGCTGTTTCAGAGGGAACTGGAGAGCAAAAGGTCACTGTTTTTAAGACACTCTACGTTTCCATGACTGCAAGAATATGACAATCACACCACGTATCCTTTGGCTTTAGAAAATATCCCCAGACACTGAATAGGCAATCAGCTTGCCTTTTTGTACGTTGGAAAAGGCTTGTTTTTCCTTCTTGAAGAGAGTCGTGACCTGTCATTAGTTCCTTCCCCTGAAACACATCACATTGCTGACAGTAAAATGATGTTTTCATTCTAAGAATTCTACAGGGAAAAAAGGGAGCAGCCGTTTTCTCAAGGAAATAACCTAACAAGACCACGGTGATTACAATTGGCTGGAACATATCAGAAAAATAAGTGCTATGGTTACTCCAAACAAAAAAAAAATCCAAGAAAGGAAATTTCAATTGACTCTTTTAGAAACAGTTTATGAAGGAGAGGTATTTTAAGGTGTTTTCCTTCAGTCAGCAAAAGAAATCTTTGTGAATGGTTGATGAAGAAAATTATTTTTTACTTTTCTGAATGAAATATGTAGTATATTCACATAGAAGATCATCCATATTTTGGAAAAAAGGATGAAAATAGAGAGCTTTATGGTGAAATTAAAATCACATCATGTAAGATATATGTAGCATAATATAACATAACATAATCTTAGACCCCAGCCTGCCAAATGCCAAAATTCAGCTCCTGATTTGTGAAAATCCAATTGATATCAGTTAAGTCACATTGATACTAACATACAGGAAGAGAAAAATGTGTCTTTTGAGTAATGTTGGGCAAACCTGAAAGGGGAACTTTGTTTTATTTGGAGAAGTTGCAAGTTAGCTATGCAATGGTGGTTCTAAATACATAAACCAAATCTTTATAGCCCACTTGTGAAATATTTAAGGGACATATTCAGAAAGTTACTTGGACCAAGAACTAAGAATGAGAAGGAAACTTTCAAAAGGGAGCAAACTGAAGTAGCTCAATAAATGTCCTCCGACCTACTGTAATTTGTGTAAACTGAAGTTCTGAATCACTGTCTACAATGTGTTGTAAGGCAGATTAGCAGAATATCTAGGCAAAAATATTCTAATTGTTCAAGTAAATTACCTGTAGCAGGCTTTGATTTTTTTAACTTAATTTATAAATAGAGGTATTTATAACTTTTTTTCAAATACAAGAAAAATCAGACCATCCATCAAATTCATCTCTCATTTGTCTCAAGCCATGGGAGAAGGAAAAAAAAAAAAGCCTAGATGTCATCTCCATTTTTGCCATGGAAAGCCATAAAAAAGATAACCTGATATTAAGCATTTCATCTTGTTTGGAAGGCATATGGATAGATTTCAATACGAAAGGTTGTTTAAAAAAAATAAGTTTCACTTGCAAGTGTGAAGTCAGATTACATGTTTCACAAGTTTTGCTCAAAACAGAGTGCGTATGTGTATACTGCAAGCAGCACATAAGTAGTCTGTAAGATGCAATGTTAGTCCTTGTCAGGAAAAGAACAAAAGGTACAGGATTTTCTTTCACACAAAGACAGTGTTTCTAGGACAGCTGGAAAACAAAATTAAGCAAATGATACTTCCACCTGCATTCTGTAAGATCCACCTGCAACTCCCTAATAAGTTTCAAGTAGAGGTGTATGATTACAGAGATGAATAGATTCAAAAAAAGTCACATTTAGAGATTTAGCTCTGAGAATGCGGGTCTCATCAGCAAATGTGGCCACTCAGCAGCAGGATTCTTTAGAAACCATTTTCCAAATTGAAATAATACAACATATTGCTTGGGGAAGTAGCCCAGGAAAAAAAATGCTCAAGCTGTACAGCACCAAAATGAGACCTCAGGCACCAATAGTACATTAGTCTCCCAAGCTTTTTTTTTTTTTTTTTTTTTTTCAAACTTCAGATTTTAAGCCCAAATATTAAGCTTAGTAAAAGTTTGCATAAACATAAGAGACTTGAAGTCATTTAAGATGTCCAAACAATCCTATCTGGGATTCCTCCCTGGGATGGCAAAGAGTTTTCCAGAACCCCCCTGGAGGGAATGGAAGAAGAACTGGGGCTTTGTTCTTGCAAGAGGCATTCAGAAAGACTCAGTGACATAAAGTGGGTGAGGTTTCAGTGGCAGCCCCTACCAAAAACAAGAGTTGTTCAGATCAACACAAGTGGGGCACAAACCTCTGAAAGAGTACTGCTATTCAGAGGATCCAGCCTACCCCTTCATTGTCGACCACCCCTATAACGCAGTGGATGTTACGCCCACAGAAACAATATCTGAGATTCTCATTTCCTATGGAGTAGTTCTATTATCTTATTCCCAACCCGATGTCAGGCCTTCTTTTTTATAGAATTCTTTTATTTATTTATATAACTACAAACAAGGACTTGTCCATGAAGCCAACTCCTGATGGGCACAGCTGTCACAACTGCTGAAGGTTCCTCTGTCCCCTGGCTTTGCCTGTGCACAGCATTGCTCTCTTTACTTCTTATTTTGACAGAAAAGACATTTTAGCTCTTCCTCTTTGCAGAATATGGAGGTCAATAGAGCCCTCATTTACCATTGCTGTTCTTCGTACTGCTCTTTCTCCATTTCAGATCAGCTTTTGCAGAGAAACTAGGCTGTCACAGCCAAGGACCTGACCATTATCTTTTTATTTCACATTTTTACATCTCCCAGACTGTAGCTCACAGGCAAGCTGAACCAATACATCAGAACGAGACAGGTGAGATACTATTATAATGCTAAGTATTAAAAACTATCTCTGCACTGATTATGGAGAAAAAAGCTACTGCTGTATAATGGCAACTGTTGATTCAATGGCTGTGGAAGTGCAAGGTGTAGAGGGCAAAAGCTTCTTTATTCAAAGGGAAATTATGCTTCAAAACTGGCTTTATTCCAGCACTGTCGATAGACCGGTTCTCTCTCCTTCTCCCTCTCTCTATATAATCTCAGTTACTTACAACATTAAAGGTCTTTAGAAGCTTCTTTCTGCAACAGAGCCCTGTTTCTGCCCCTCATCACCCCAGTGAATGACAATTTGAAAGAAAACCAGAAGCCTTGCTATGGATTTACAAGTTTCTCAGAGCAAATCACTGGATGCCAAAGAAGCTGCCAGGCTACTGCAACTTGCTAGCAGTTATAATCAGCGAACAAAGGAGTCAGAGGCAGCACCGAGGGGGAACCTTTTGTGAAAAATATTGACCAGCAAATTACACTGTAGACAGTGCTTTGGCACTTGGCTGTCTAAAGGTGACTCAAACGATTCGTTTAGCTCTGCTAGCTGGTTTCTAATTACACCAAATGCCTGACTGTTGTCAGTGGGCCCAGTATTTTGTGAGCGGGTGCTCTTCGCATGTGTCATTCATTACCTCACACTGTACCAAGAGCCATCTCTGCAGGGAGAATAGTTGGCAATGCCATTCATTTGGATAATTTCCTCAGATAGTGGATTGCAACAAACCCCTCAAAACAATCCCCTTCTACACTTCCAAAACAAATAAGAAAGAAAGAAAGAAGAAAGGAATGAAGGAAGGAAGAAAAGGAGAGAAAGAGAAGAAAGGAGAGAAGAGAACAAAAGAAAGAAAGAGGAGAGAGAGAGAGAGAAAGAAGAGAAAAACAAGCCTACAAAAAAGCAGCAGAGCCCCCAGCCACCACATGCTAATTTCAGTAAATGCCCAGGAATGAAACGGTGGCAAGTTGCTGTCTGGGGTTTACAAACTGAACACAGTTTACCCTTCCTGGGTTTTAGCTGGACTCCTGCTCTGGTGCCAGAGTAACAGCTGTAGCAGCTGCACTTGCATTTTGCCACCCAGTACAGGCACCTGCTGCGACCAAGGAAGTGAAAACCCACAAGAGATGCAATTTTCTTTTAATTACATTAGCCTGGTTTTGGCAGCCAGCCATACAACAGAGTATTGGTGGGGATGTGGACTCTATTCACAATTAGAGCCTGTCTGGGGGTTACTTTTGACACGTGGCAGGGAGAAACTGGGCAGGATCCATATTAGTGCTGATTCCTGTTTGGGAGAAATAATCAAGACTGACACGTTTTTTGTTACATGGTGGTAACTATATTGAACTCTTAGATCTGTTTTATGCACTTTGCAGACTGTCTGGATCATAGCAGTTATATACATGCCACTGAAATATCCAGGGTCAAGCCACGGGCCTGAGGAGTAGTTGAAAATCACCCGTGCTCTTTAATTGCTATTTTGACCCAAACGATGCTGCCCCAGACGTGCCTGAGCGCAGTCTGAATTATGGCATGGGTGAGGCTGCTCTCAAACAGTCTGTTCCCAATAAGCTGTACGGATAAGGACATCATCTTTTGGAGAGAGAGAAAGTTGAGGCATGCAGACATGAGCCGTGTGGTGCCAATTCTCCCCAGGGCCACAGCAGGCTCTGGCCTGTTTCATTTATTCCTCTAGAAACAGCCAGCTCCACCTGACTGTCCCTGGGTGCTGTGGAGAAGGAGGTGGGCTCTGGGTGTTTTCCACAAGGGGAAGAAGCTGTTCATTGTTCCCAATGTGCTCAGTGGCTAAAATTATCTTTTCTGTAGCAGGTGCATTCAAGGTTTTTATGCTAGGATGGTCACAAATAAGGAATAACGTACCATTTCTTACAGCTTACATTAGCTACCTATTGCCAACTTGCAGAATATATTGAGGAAATATCATGACCCAACAACGCTGCTCAAGCAATGCTGCCCATTTAACCTCAGATGCTGTGGCTACCTGAATTAAGGCCTGTTTTCACCTTAGGCAAGCTCTTACTGTTTTTAACCTTCTGGGCACTGTTGCAGGACGTAAGCCATGATGCAAAGAAGAACTTTGGATCTCCATCTCACTTTTTGCCCATCTACATCAGCAAAGATGCCTCAGAAGCTGGCAAAAAGTTTAGGTTTGTAAGATGCTCACTGTGCTCACCTTGGCAAGGGGATGTAAGTGGGGAAGACCCGGTGCACCTTCCTCTGCACTAGCAAAGTGTCTCCAAGAGACAAGCAATGTGTCCCTTGTTGTTTCACCCAGACTTGGTCCCTGGGCCACCTGTGTAAGTGTGTAAGCAATGCTTCTGGTATGCATAAGCTGCCACAAAAACCCTTCACAGGTGCCTGACTGTTTGAATTCCCAGGGCGATGCGCCACAAAACAGATGAGTCTCAGCACACTCTTTCTGTTCAGAGACCTGGCAAGCCCCTGGATCCTGTAGGAGCACACTGTGGACTCACGTATGCCTGAACAAGAGCCATCAATCTCTCTGCCTCTGCACTATCAGAAGGGAGCTGGCACTGAAAACAGAGCAAATGACATAGTGCAAGACATTTCCACCATGGCAGGGCTGTAGTGCAGACCAGAGACTGTGCGGAGTGTCAACACATACGTCTGCAGGATGCTGAAAGATTCAGTCATCAGAGGAGGATGAGAGCTGGGCTGAGTGTTAACAGCAGAGTGCTTGGTCACGAGGAACAAAGGTGGAAAGAGAAGACACAGAAAAGGCTTCTCTGTCCTGGCTGATCAACTGGGTGAAATATTTGCTGGAAAAAAAAAATTCATGGTTTCTTTAGTAAGGCTGTAATCATGCTCCTGTTTCTGAAGAGCTTTATTCCCAGCAAGTGACAGGATTGCATAGCACTGTGAACAGCACTCAGGACTGTCTGGAACATGAAAAGCAGGGCTTTGAGGAGGGGTGTCTGTGTGTTTTGAATAAAATTTTCCAGTTAAAAATGTGCGTCAGATTGTTTGTCAGTAATACTCATATAAAAGAAATCACACTGATGTTTAGGTAATACTCATTAAAAGGACAAACTTTAACTCTTTAAACAACAGTGTAGTAAAATTGGGGTAAATTAAAGAAAAAGTCTGGTAGGTGATGTCAGGGTAATTGCTCCTGCTTTGAGCCACTGCCGGTGAGAGGAGAATAAGGCCTGATGTGAAGTGAAAAGATCAAACAAAAGCAAAGAGTGAAAACTGGGAACAGTAAAGGAATTAGTAGTAATTGTGTTGAGCCTCCCTCCATCTTCTTCAAGCCCTGTTTGGGACAGAAGAACTAAAGCCATGAAAAACAGCTGAAACAATGTCATCGTTCAGGTTTCCACACATTTCAGATGATGACCAGGTCAGTGGTGACCCTGGAATAAAACAAAAAGTTGTCACTGATTTTGAATCAAAGTCTTGGTCACCTTCAGTACTACAAGGAAGCAAGTTTGGGAAACTGGATAGGAAGTCATATACAGATGACCTTATTCTGTCAAAAAAAAAAAACAAAAACAAAAACAAAAACAAAAACAAAAAACAAAAAAACCTACACTTTTCTTCCTTAATGTCTTAAAATAACATATTGACAGCATTCCTTCAAGAAGGATGCATTCCCAGGTAGAGCCTTGTAGTGCGTTCATGGGACTGTCACGGTGAGAAGGATTTCTTTTATTTCCTGTATTCTTGTTTGAAACAAAAACTGAATTCATGGCCAATCCCTACTCCCACTGGTGGAAACAATCCTGGAAAAAAACAATTTCAAAATTTCAATGGGTTTTGGATGACGGGACAACTTGGGCTGTCAGCCATAATAGGTCTGCTTGAGACAGCTCATGGGGTAGTAAGTCCTCTAAGGAATAAAAATGGTCAAACTGCCAGAAACTCCATGAATTTTTTGTTTTGTTTGTTTTTGTCCAAAGAACGCGTGTGCCTATGGATGTATTGGAAAACAGAAGAGAGGGGCTTTTACCTATTCCCACCTTTTCAGAGCTGTAACTTTAAGACACATCAACCCTGTGGTGGTTTACAGTAAGTGTTGCAGCAGCAAGATGATGGAAATAAGTCACTCTTAAACATACAAAGCCTGAGGTAACACGTTGAGAAGCTTCCTGCTATTGTGGCATAGCTTTGATTTCATCTCCCATGCTAATCTTAACCCCGATCTCTTCTCTTCATCTTCTTACAGTGCCTGTGGCTTCATTGCCCCAAATCTAAAACATTACAGCATCCTTACAGACATCAGCCCAGCATTCTCACTCCCTGCCCTTCCTACCATGTCCTCTCCCAAGCCTCCCAGTGAAGTCAACAATTTTTTCAGACTGTGTGGATATGAAATCCCACCTCCACCATGCAGAACTTCCTCCTTTCCTCATCAGCCAGAGTCTTTGTTCTTCACAAAGAGGAAGAAATGTTGGAAATGTCTTATTTGTTAAAAAGACTCAATGCTAATGCTTTCTTCTTGGTAGTCAGTTTCAGATCCTGAAAATAGGAATCTTCTTTTTGAGAAGCTTAGCTGCAAGCTAGGTTACATATCTAGGGGGTAGTATAGTTCTCAGGGAAAAAGTCGTCCAAAAATCCTTGTAAGAAAAGATAACGCAATGTACAGTTACATATGCAATTCATTTGCATCTGAATGTCCAGTATTATCCTGGCATTGTCTTATCTACATACAGCTGCACATGAAAAGGCCATTACAGTTATGTCAAAACAAAGCAACCCATTACAGTTCCCTACGAACCCAGACCACGTGCCACTCAGTTCTCATTGCCACCCCTTGCTTGTCTAAAAGTAACAAGCCGCTTTCCCAGACAGCTCCTATTGATCAGCTCCTGTTGGCAATGCAAATTCCTTCCGTGTGCAGTCAGGCATAGCCATGAGCCTCCAGCACAAAGAGGTGGAGCTGCTCTTTGCCTTGCACAACTGGAGAATTTCCTGCTGTTTTCCCAGTCATCCGCAGGCCAGGTCTATCTACTCCACATCAATCCAGGACATCCCATTCATTTCGAGACTAGTTGCCACAAGACTCTCTGCAGGCGGCTTCCCAGATGGGGCCTAACTTCCAGCTTTGTGTTGTTTTTTAGTTTTTTTTTTTTCTTTTTTTCCATGTCAGGAGACATTTTGAAATAAAAGGAGCTTTCAATGTGTATGGAGGATAATAGGAAGACTCTCAAGTCATGGGCAATAGCCCTGACCATGGGCATTTATTGTTGTTGTTATTGGTTTTGTTGCTGTAGTACCTCCTGACCATAAACCAATGTCAAAGTTCGCCACACTTGATACTATATAAACATGCAAAATGACAGAAAAGACACTGAGGACTGACCACATAAAAAGGCTAAATAAATAAGCAGTGGAGGAAGCAAAGAGCTTCAAAAATGAGAGAAGGATGGACAATTTCACACTGTTTACAAAAGATCTTGGTTTTCTCTAAACTCTGCTCTCACTGAAGTCAATGGAAAAATTCCTCTGGGCTTCAAAGGAAATAATGTTAGGTCACTGCTGAGCACTTCAGAAACACTATTACAAACATCTGATGAAGCATAGGCCAGAAACCTATTGCAAGAAGTCAGATTTATACTCAGATCTACTTAATTCAAACTAGGATCCTAAAAGTAGAATTAACACCTTTAAAATCCTTATCAGTTTGATACTGAAAGTGGTTTCTCATCCTAGAAGTCTGATGTGCAACTATGTTGGTTTTGTTTTTTCTTTCTTTCTTTTGTTTTCCTTTCTAGAAAGCTAGATGGGGAAACAAACAAACAAACAAACAAAACACCATAACAAAACAAGATATGACACACTATTATTATAACATTTGCTATTTCTGAGGCATTTCCAAATGAAAGAAATATTGTCCAGACAGGTTCAGGAAAATAATTTTTTCTTACTTTTTACAAATTGAGACAATTTTGAACATGACTTATTTTTGCAGTACTCTTAAACACGAGTGTTTTCCTGAGAGAGGTGAAAGGTACTGCTCTAGAGGATTCAAGGTACAGAGAAAGTGCTGGAGTGGCTGTAACATTTATCACTGCTGGATAAACATAAAGCTCAACTTTACGTTTAACAGACCTGTGGCCATTAAACTCATTCCACATTTTGTTGGCAGCTGCTGGAAGAGCTCTTTGCATCCAATTGAAGCATGAGGAGCTGAAAATCCCCCTGCTTTAGTAGCAGAGAGCACATTTCTTCCTCTCAGTTACAACCATTGCCTGGAGCTGTTGCACTAGCTGCAGCTCTGTCTTTCTGGAATTTGCACCCAGGATCCCCCACAACACTAAAACCACCATTTTGGCTTCTTGTTCACTAGCCATGACGTCTAAAATCTGCCTTTTGCTGCCCTGGGACTGTTAGCAAGAGCAGTGCAACTTCTGTAACATTTGGTACAAAGCACGCCAGCTAGCACTTGTGTTTTCTGTTGCAAATCCAGATTACAGAGCAAAGCTGCTGCTTGTAAAGCATAAAAAAACCGCAAGACTTTCCCAGTGGCAGAGAGCAGAAGCAAAGCTAATCCTTCCGAGTGCTCTCTCGCTGTGAACACAAGAAACTGTCACACAGGCAGAAATACAACAGACTTAGGTGGAGTTTTGTGTTTGTTTTAGAAGGGAAATGAGTGTGGCCAACTCTTCGGAATGATGTTAAACTGTTCCCACAGAGAGTCAGGTCTCCTATGAACCAGACATGTAGTAAAAGCCACTATCCTTGTCACGTTGAAAGACTCCAGCTGAAGGGGCTTTCATACCTCATGGAGGAAAGGCACGCTTACACAGCAGCTATGCTGCAAATGGGAAAAATAGGCAAAAAATAATGATAAAAAAATGCTGCATGGATTTTGCAGCTGGGGAATGGAGACACAGATCTACAGAAGACTGTAATATGTAAAGTTTTATTGAGGATACAAGCCAGAGACACGTGCAAGTTAAGAAAAAATTGGACCACAGCACTGAGTTGCAAGCCAGATCTTTAACTGACAGATCCCAAAGACTTTTTCCCCCTTCTGCCCTTGTTATGATGGTACTCCACTCCAGTGAGTTCTCCACCAGGCTTGTGTAGGGTGAATATTAGCTGCATTCAATCTTTGGGACCCATAATTTAGTTTCTAATTATTACTAAATTTATGGTCCCCACCAAAGTTGATTTGGGCCTGGCTGGGAGAAAAGCTACACCAGCTGTGTGGAGAGGACAAGTTATGCAAAGCTCATAAATTCTCTGAAAAGCATTAAGGGAATTTTAATATTACTCATCATTAGACAGGGTTTACACGGTCCCTCTCAAAAGGTCCAGATATTCAATGATTTTGAGAGAGCATCAAGCATCTGGCCTGACCTCCTGTGCACTTCCATATCCCTGCCCCCTTGCCTTGAGCCAAATAATGTCCTTTCATTTTTTAGCTGCTGTTGCTTTTACAATAAATAATGTTTGCCAGGTCTTTGATGGTTATAGGACTCCACTCTGGTTTTATTTCTTGTCACTGTTATTGCCATTGCCCATTACTTTGTAATTCTGAGTGTAGACATAAAAGATGCTCTTAGTACTCTTCACACACAGATAATTGGACCTCTTTTTTTTTTTCTTTCTTTTTTTCTTTTTTCTTTTACACACACATCTGTATATAATCTTAGAAATAAGCCTAACCTGCTGTGGATGCAGTCATTTTACCTAATCTGAGGCATCTAACCAAGGGACCAAATTTAGATATTTACTTGATGTTGGCTCATTCTATATGTGGAGATAAATACACACTTCCAGAGGAGCATGCTGGTCTCCGATGTGCTCAGTTGCTCTTTAAACTAGCCCATTCTGACAGAGATTAGGATATTACACTGCCTGAATTGAGGACCTCTTTTATCTTTTGAAGCTTAAAGACCCTAGTTGGAAGGAAGGCCCTGAGCAACTATCTCCTTCTAATAAATTAGTTCAAGGTTCTTTATTCTCCCGTGAATAATTGTCGTGTAATTATTTAACAATGTCCTTCAAATTAAGGACAATGGCTAGAAACAGAAACAGGCAAAGAAAGAAAC